ACCAGTCAAATTACGACTGTTGTTAAACAAACTGAATCGTTTTATGACAAATGGGGCGATGGTAATTCTGGTAATATGTCAATACCCGATGATGAATACTATAATTACATAATTAAAAAAATAGATGAAACATTTAAGGTGGATAATTTGTTAGAGTGGTGGGCGGCTCATCAAAGCGAATTTCCAATTTTAGCGAAATTGGCAATTCCTGCTTCAAGTGCAAGCTGTGAGCGGAATTTTTCCACTACGAGAATTCTTGAAGAAAGAAGAAGTAATCTTCAACCTGAAAATATGCTTCTCTTTCTTCATGATAATTTGTGAATTTTTAATATCTTTCTTGAGTATAGGGTTTCGTCAATCATGCTGGTTTTTTACTTTGCAAACTGTCAAATATTTATTGCATTTATTATATTTACCTTGAGTCATGAAAGTTTTTAATCTAACATTTTTCATTATTTTTTTTACAATATTATATAATACAATTATCTTCTTTTGTTAAAAATTTATATTATAAAATAAATTATATTAATATTGGGCAATTAGATTATATTTTCAAAATACTAATTATTATACATGCATTTTTTTAAATAGCGATTTATTTTTATTTTGTAAATTAAATACAATATATTATATTCTCAAAATATTTTCCATTTTTATAAATTAAATATTAGTTTTATTATTTTTAAATGCAATATAAAATATAGAATATGCTCAAAATATTATTACCATTTTTATGAATATTAGTTTTATTTTTATAAATGCAATATAAAATATAGTATATGCTCAAAATATCCATTTTTATAAATAACAGTTTTATAATTTTTATAAATTCAATATAATATTCTCAAAATATTAGCTTTTTACATGTATTTTTTAAATAATAAGCGATAATACTAGCTGAAAAATATGGTAAAATACCTCATAGGTAAATTTTTGTATATACCAGGTCGAATATAATTTTAAAAAATTCCGAGATCCAGGCCGGGCCTAAAAAATTTAAAATCGGGCCGGGCCGTGCAAATGGTACCTCTGCAGGTCTCTGATAAATATTAATAAAATATGTTTAATTAAGTTTCGAGTTCTTGAATATATGAATCAGAATCTTGCGCATTTCATATATGGCGTCCTAAATATTAAAAAAATTGATATAATTTAAATTTTTAAAAGATTCTAATTTTTCGGTAGCGCATTTACTTTCTTGTGACGACAATGTATAACTACGGCCAGTAGCATTTAACAGTGAAACTAATGTTAAGATATTACATTTGGGCAAGCAAAGAGTGTCGTCTATACTTGGAAATATAAAGTAATTTTAAGGTCCGGATGGGTGTAAAAACTTATATATATTTCTTCCTGCTTTTGATTTTTCACTAAAACAAAGCTAACCACCAATTAGAATCATAAGGATACGTTCGGTATCCTGATATTTCTTCAATAATTATACTTTCATCATTAAATGATAACTATTCTAAAGTACTTTCTATTGAATTGAAATACATTTTACTTTTAAATTGATGTATATCTGTTGGAATCAAGGTGTGTATTTTGTGTGTTCCAGGTATAGATCTACTTTTTGAAAATCTTTCCCTGAGTAATAGATCTTCGTAATCATATTTTATTTTGGTCATCTATTCAAAATATATGGCATTAATATTTTCTTTAACTAACTCGTACAATTCATATGATGTGTACTTTGAGTAAGGCCTTGTAAACTAGCTCTAGCGGCTAATCTTTTAATAGTGCCACCAATCCCATCACAAACACTTTTCCCGTGTGCTGTAGCAGAAAAATGCCATTTTGCCTGTACCCCGAAATCCATCTCATGATGGCAAATATTAATAAAAAATTACGATTTTTATACTGTGCTGCGGATCCACTGGAAAATAAAAATTTTTTAGCCTACAAATTTTATTAATTAAAAAATTTACCAATGTTTTTTTGAAATTATGTACTGCTATTGAATTGTGTTGCAAAGATTCGGATATCATTACATAATTTAGGCAACAAATATTGGCAAAATTATCTTTATAATATATAACAAAAGGGTGAACAGTGGATTGAGCCCTATTCCAATGATAATTTTGTACTTCATCCTGAAGTATAAAGCTATAGTTTTCTTAAAAATCACAAAATTAAATATTGGTCTTCGTCTAAGTTCAATTTTAGATTGTAGCCATTGTTTGTATGTTATAAATTCGATGTCCTTAGAACGAAACAATATTTCTATTTGATAGCGTAAATGTGTTGACACTGGACAATTATCACATTTGCCAATATAACTGGATGGTTGAGGCGAATTACAAATTATTAAGTGTAAAATATGTTTGTATGTTTTAAAGGGCAAATATTGGTTAAATTTAATCCAATGATCATTAATTTAAAATTTTGGTGGTAGCTGCAATCACATACATGTGTACCACTACCTCCAACGAGTATACAATTTTTGGGCGAATGCTTGCGAATTTCGAAAAACCAATTTTAACATCAGGCCTCATTTCTTTAAATATATAAATTTTTTTCAAATTATAATTTTAATATTATTTTTGGCATCTATGAAATGAACAAGATTCTGATTCATATATTCAAGAACTATAAACTTGGTTGAATATATTTTATTAATATTCATTAAATATATGTTATATGGGCAAAAATTTTTATAATAAAGTAATAAATTGAATTTCTTTTATCGATAGACAATTTCTATAATGGAATGAAAGATCCATTTATTGTTATTTTCACTTACAAGATAAATAATTCTTTAAATTATATCAAATAGTGAAAAACCATTAAAAACTGATGAATATATAAGTAAAATATTTATACACTTTTCTACATTTTTATCGATTTTGAAAATGAAGATGGCCGCGTCCCAGACCAATTTTTTTTATAAATATAAAGGAAGAGTTTAATAATGTCTACTAAATTTTTTAAAAAAAATTGAAGGTCGTATTATTTCCAAAAAATTGTTTTTAGTCCTTATATATTAAATGAAATGACCGGAAATTATTTTTTTTATCAAAAAGTAGAATCTTTGTACGTAATTTTGATATTAAATTTGTTATTTACAATTATGTAGTTTTAAGATATGCTTAATTGAATGAAGGCAGATAATGGAAAAAATACGTCATTTTTGCCACCTTGAACCCGAATATCTACAAAAATATAAATGTTACGAGGCTAAAATTTTGGCTATAACTACACTAACCCTTACCAAATTTTATAAAAAACGGAGGGGGTCGCGAAAATCTCATTTTTTTGCTCATTTGACATGGAATGACCCGGGTGTTTCCTTAGCTCGTACATGAGCATCTCTCAGTAAATTTATTGATGCAACCTTTCGATAGCAAACATGATCGCCTAAGCCCCCAATCAATAGTGGCTAATTCTTTTCAGCCGCCAACTGTCGCAATCGGTATCTCCTGTCCAGTAAGAAATCGGTGTGCAATAACAGCTCAAATACCATCTTCGGAAACGTCATAAAAAATAAAGACAGGAATATAGTCTGAATAAGGAAATATTGTATCCTCTATTGATAATATATTTTTAACTTTATTAAATATTTCATTTACTTGAGCTGACCAAAACCAACTAACATTTTTACTCGTTAGTCGGTGTAAAGGCGAGCAAAAATGTAAATTTTGTATATACGACTCATGGTAATTCAGCATCCCAAGAAACGAACTTAATTTTTTCATATTTGACGGAGTTTTACAATTTTATATGGCAATAATCTAATCTTCTGCAGGGTGATTTCGAAATTTGTCAATAACATGACCCAAATAAGTAACTGACTTTTATCCAATTTTAATTTTATAGGTCATCGTTGAGAAATGGAAATTTATTACTTTAAATAAATTATCCGTACTTATGACGCTAATAACAAATCTTTTTTATTATTATCGACAATATTTTTTACTTTATGATGAGTTCTAAATTATATTCATATCGAATGTACATTTACCATAATCAATTATCATAAATTGTTCCTAACAAAATACAATTTATTCAAAGTTAATACATTTCACCCTATAAAGCCTTTGCGACCCACTTGAGAGTGAACAGCCCACACATCATTATAAAAAATATGGTATCTTAAATATAGATACGTCGTCGGCTGAGGATTGTCGTGTTGTTCCATAGTAGTCACCTTTTTTTTACAGAATTTAACATTTGCTCAAAAATCTTCAAAGATTTTATGCTCATGTTTAATAAATCTATTCTTCAGCGTTAAATTGTTCTATATTAGTAATAAAAGGTGGAGTTTAAAATTATTTGGATTTACCTTAATATATTATTCTATGTCCATATTTAAAATATATTTTTATTATAATGTTCCATATCCTTAAAATAATTAGAAATCTAAAATCAAGTCATGTATGTGCATTATATAGGAGCCATTATCTCAAATATATAACTAAAAACGGAATAAAATTCTGCTTAATAAAAAGAAAAGGTTTCAGATCTAAAAGAAATGCAAAAAAATTTTCCCGATTCTGATAAAAAAAATAATTATAAAAATCTTAAATAACACATTATATTTTATAAATTTTGTGATTTTATGTGGTGGCTATGTATGAAGATGGGTATTAGTTCAGGTGTAAAAAATTACGATATTAATAATAGATTCATTTAGCAAATCTATTATCACGTCAATAAATAACTTTGGAGATAACAATAAAAAGGTTAATGAAAATAACTAGTTTATTTCAGCTGCAGGCCAGGACCAAAGTCCGGCCTAAGGATACGAGCCGGGCAATATAAATTTTATTTAAAACTAATCAGGGCCAAGCCGAGGCATTCTAAAACTCGCAATTATCAAATATAATAAAAATTTATTTTAAATTATATCATAGAATGATATACCACTTATTCACTTCTCATATTTCTATTTCAAACATTTATAACTCTTGTATATCTTAACTAGTTTATAAAAGAAAAGTTAAATAGTTTTTAAATTATTCAATAATTAAAATAATTTGAAGTCAAATAATATAATATACCGGGCCGTGCATATTGTACCACTGCAGGTCTCTGATCTGTATCATAATTTTTCAATTAAATATAAAATGCAAAAATGTATTTATTTATTATTTTTTATTTAATATATACAATCGTATTTGCAGTGGTGGTAGCTTCTGGGCTAAACCCTTTCTACATATGTGGGTGGACAAGGCAAGTTGCAAGGGCAGTGTCTTTTTATATGGGACAATATTTTCATTATCTTTTAGTTATTTATATTTAATTTATTTATCCTATTTATTATTTATGTTCACCAACAAAAAAATAGAATTGAAATTTTGGGTTTCCTTGTCACCATATAAGGTTTAGGTAAGTATGAAAATACTAGTCTAAATTGTTTTATATCGTTTTTATAATATATTTAAATAGTATAAGAAAAATATTTTATCTCATTTATATAAAAATGGTCAATTTATAGAATCACGAAATTTAAAAAAAATTCTGTGCAATTTTTTCCTTATACATGTAAATAGGTCTAGTATGTATTTTTAAAATATAAAATTAATAGAGGCGTTAAATGTAAAGAAAAGAATAAATGGAAAAAGCCTACGAAAATATCAAGAAACTAACAAAGAAAATCTTGGGAAGAGAAGAAGGCATGTTGGAAAAAGGATGAGAGATCATTCGATCGAATAGATTAGCTTAAGGTAGTTAGAGCGAATAATTGCGGTAGCATTTGTCATAAGAAGAGATTCCTTGGGTTAATTAACCCTTTCGTGGGTGGTCTTTCTAATCATCTAAAAAAATGAGTTTTGCACACGAAAGAGATTGGATTAGGCAGAGTATGAATGTGTAAAAAGAATTGATGAAACTATCTTTGGTTATTTTCCAAAATTCGGAATTGTGAGAAAATTGGCATTTTGGTTGGATGGGGCATTTGGGTCAATGTGGACGATTTGAAGACATTCCTATCGGTCCTAAAGATGACGGTTGGTTTGAGTCTAGAGAAGATTCCCGCTGATCTAAGTGCTTGCAAAACAAGATTGATGACTTTGTAGTAATGGGAAACGGCTTGGTCAAAATCGACTGTATAGGTAATGCTGCCCCTTGCTGTCAACACTAGTGTTATTAAAAAGCCCGATTTGAGTCTATATTTAAAGCGGCCCGATTAAGATTTTAGCCAAAATAATATTATGTAAGCCTCATGATTTAGCAAATAGATGTCCAAACCTTTCTACCAGCTATGAGCAAAATCTCCAGGCTTATAATAATATTTTAATTATAATCGTAATCGGACCGTTTTAAAAAATCGACCCGTATCACGATTTAACAACACTAGTCTACACTGAACAGTGTTGACTGTTGTTTACATATTGGTAAGGCAAAACAATTTTGCAGTTAAGCCTAGTCCAATAGCAAATTTTACTCATCTGCTGAGATGAGCAAATTGAGATTAAATGAAATAATTTATATCTAAATAAAAAGTTAAATTAGCATTGTAATATATATTAAATAAAAATAAAATAAAGGTTGTTAAAAAAAGTTGTGAACATTAAATTGAATTAAAAGAATAATGGTATGTAAAATTTAAATCACGTGATTCAACTTTTTTTTTAATGAATAAGTCCTTTTCTTGTTTTTAAATTCTTTTTAGACAAAAATAAAATATATGAACATGAATTGATTTTAAAAAAATGAATAACATATAAACAAGAATATATGAATTCCATGACAAATCAACATGAATTTCAACCCAACGCCCTAGATTTTTCACTAGAGTTTGCATTTATAACTAAGAAAAAAATAAAATTTAGCCTCTAACTCAAAACATCGGCTGAGATATGGGCCTTCTAAAGGTCAAAAAGGGGCATTTTGGGCAAAATGCACTCCCTTTAATTTTGTATATAATTAAGCAATTTAAATTCCTATATATAGCCTAATGGTAGGCCTTTAAAGTTACATAATGTTAAAGATTGTTTAAAAAATCGAAATATCGAAAACCGAAAATTATCATAAAATCAAATCTGCATTTTGTTTCTCTCAAATTAATTTTGTGAGAGCTATAGGCTAATTAATAAATGTGCAAAATTTCAAGTTGGGCCGAGCTTAGGTTTAGGAGATATGGCATTTTAATCATTAGTCAATTGTAAATATTCGTAATAAATATTTGATTAATAATTAAATTGTAATATAAGCTAAAACCTTTTATTATTTTGTATTTAAAGAAATGATTTAAGGGTGTGGGGGGGGGGGGGGTATTGTTTGCAATTAATAATATAACTTTCAAAAAAAGGTTAGACTCTAGGTCGACGTCCGATTTTATAGATTTATTTTTCGAAAAAATACGCTAATTCAACATTCATTAATATCTTCACAACAGTTAGAATTTCATAATTCATTAAAATCAAGTTTAAATGTTGATAGATTTTCAGTTATATGTGATTTTTCTGAAAATTATGCTTTTGTGATAAAGGGCCACCTATTCTCCATTCCTTAATGGTGTATTATTGTGACAATAATATTAAAAAACATATTAACTATGTGATACTCTCATGTCTAAAACACAACGCATGTGGCTGTTTATTTATTTCAAAATAAAATTATTCATTTTCTTAAAGCAAAATATATGAAAAATATTTTATTTATTTGATGGCACAGTATGCAATATAAAAATTTTAAAAAAATCATAATCTATGCCATCATGAACTCTATTTCGGGATCAAGGCAGAATGACACTTTTATAACAGCCCATGGTAAATGTGCTTGTGATAGTTTTGGATGAATTATCAAAAGGTTAGAAGCAAAGTTAGCTCTCAGCATCTTTATGAGAACCAGATATTAAATACTTTAGATTTATTTAATTTTTGAATAGAACATGAAAAATATCTTGAAACAAAGTTTCAAAAGGCTGAACACATTCCTGGAACACAAAAGTTTCAAAAGGCTGAACACATTTCTGGAACACAAAAGTTTCATGAGTTTATACCTCTTATAGGAAATAAAATTAAAGTTAAATTTTATTCCTATTGTGAAAATAAATTTAAAGTTAAATTTTATTCCTATTGTGAAAATAAATTTAATTTACAACATATAAATTAAAATTATATTTTATCTTCAATAAAATTATAATCAAAGATTGATTTGGAATTTGTAGATATTATTACGAGATAAATTATAATCAAATAAAATAACAATAGCCCCCCCCACATTACTTTTTTAGATCTGAAATACCAGAGTTGTTAAAGTATCTATATATAAAAATATGGTAACTGTATCTGCTTTAAGATACTTTTAAGATATACTTTTATTTAACGCCTTTTTATATCATAAATAAAAATTATTTAATGCAAAATTTAATTAGCTATAAACAAGAAATCAAATTGTTTAATTATTCAATTAAATAATCTACAAATTCGTCGGCGGATTTTGTCAGTGTTTCGAGGGTAGTTCGATCAACGACTATCCACTGTTTGAATATTATATAATCTATGGAATACTCGCCAAAAAATATATTAAGCCTTTCTTATAATTTTAAAAATGTGGGGGAAAATTTATTGTTGAATTTTAATTATGGTAGATCATTTTATGCTAAATAAAGCTCATTATCCTAGCCACTTCTCAAAAATTATGATAAAGATAAAAAAATAAGGGCCTGTCATTTAGACATAATTTTTAAATCAACATTATTTCATATCTATTCATTAAATTTAAATATGATGATATTTTTGGTTAAAATTGTTCAATTTTAGCCATATAAAGAGTCATAACTACTAAACCCATGTTTATCCAAGTCTAGGATTTTGTACAAATATAAGGCAGTGTGATTTCTACAGAAAAAAAATTTTGAAAAAAATACCCTTTTTTCTATGGCCATTTCCGGTTTTCGATATTAATCAAATTTTTATCATATTTATTTTTATGTCATAATAAAGAACTATTATTAAACTACTTAATAAAATTTAAATTATTTTTCTAACATAATTTTCTCGATATATTTAAAAATAAATGAGGTGCTAAATGTACCATTTTTATGCGCTTTAAACGGCCATATCTTAGCGGGTAAAGAGTGTTGGAAGGTAAAATTTCATTTTTTTTAGTTAGTATATACTACAAGTGTACAAAATTTAAGAAAAATTGAAAGGGGTCGGGTTGAATTGGTTGATTTGATATGGAATTACCATATATAAAATATTTAAAACTATATAAAAAAAATATATAAATATTCATTAAATATTATGTCCGAGTTTATCAATAAGACAAATTTTGATATTACAATCCATCTCAAGGAATCATCAATTTTTATTTTCAATTTGAATTGATTAATTCCATTTTTTTATATTAATTTTAAAAATTTATTTTAGATTAATATTAATAGTGATGAAGAGGAAGAAGTAATAATCAATGTAGCAACGGCAAGTTCAGACATTGTTTTTCCTTGGCCAATTTATAGAGCATATTTTATAATATATCTCAAAATATAGAAAACAAATCTCTGATATTAAAATTATTATATCTACCAAAAAATAAGAAAATTTCAGTTAGCATTACCTCAACTTGCAACATTGTAAAACATTTAAGGGTAGATATTAAATAAATGTTTACAATTGTAATTTTAAATTTTAAGAGAAAATATCAAACACTGTTGATGAAGATAAAAAAGGGGAAGGAGAATAAATCTATTAAAGAAAATATTGTACTAGGCTCATCGTCCACTTATATTTTTGTGAAGAGACCTCAGACTTGAACACAAACTACTTTAGATGATTTAATAACTGCTTTTATTATAGATGGCATTCAGCCATTTTAATTGTTAAAAAAATTTATAAAAATGATCAAAACATTAGCTCCACAAAAAATATAATTTACCGACAGACAGTGGTTGGTAGAATTTCCCAAAGATAGGAAAGAAAGAAATCATAAAAAGTCTAATAGAACCATAGCTAATATGCACAACAGCAGATTGTTGGAGTGCCTATTGCCGGTATAACTAACATTTAGATTTGTATAATAATTAATTAAGAACAAATTATTTGAGCAGTTTTAAGAAATGTTAATTTTTAATTCTTACATAAGAGTTAAAGCACACTATATAGATCAACAAGTTTAGAAAGAAAAAATGTAGCGTTGGCTTGTAAAAAAATGACTGGTAGTCATACATATGATAAAATAGCAAAGAATTTACAAGATATAGCAAAGGATTATTGCATTCAAAATAAAATCTTAAAGACCATTACGTTAAAATCTTTAAGGTTTATTTTATTAAAAATATAAACATGATATATGATTATTTATTTATTATAGAGTTTTCAAGCCAATTGAAAATACTAGTGAATATAGGGATGATCTGGAAGATGAAGAAGTATTTGTACCAATATCAAGTTTTAATACTACTGCTCAGGATTTTGAAATATCAGAATCATAGTTTACCTCATCATAAAGGTTGTGCCAGTCACACATTGAATCTTGTTGCGACTGTGGATGTCAATAGTGTAAACAATATCAGAGGGTAAAACTATAATTTTAATTATAATATTTTATATTTTCTTCATTAGATATATTGCACAACATTATTTAAATGTCAAAAAATATGGAATGACAAAATAAATCTCTAATTTGATCTGAGATTTTAAAAAATAAATATTGGCCGTTTTTTATATGTCCTAATAAACAAGATGGAACTCCGCATATAATGCTTTGCAATTAATGTCAGAAATAATTAAAGTTAAATCTGGCATAGGACAAGATATGAGTACCTAGGTTTTTTATCTAATGAATGTGATTTTATTCATGAATATTGTTTAGTAAGTTATAAATAAAATTTATAAATATAGCCTTATTTTAAATTAGCTAATGAATCCAGAAGCTAATTCTCTTGATATTTTGCAGGGAGATAAATATATGTAAACAGTTTATTAATATGAAACCATTTCACAGCTGATTATCAAAATGAAGAATTTTAAACAAATTAACATGAGATTTTGTTTACCGCTCTTAGATGCCTTACTTGAAGGGATTGAAGATAGATAAATTAAATTAATCTAAAATAGGTTTATTGGGACATTATTTGAAGAGGAAAATATTATAGCAACTATGCTCCATCCTTTTTTAAACTTGATTGGACATGGTTATCAAGGTCTTCAACTGATTCAAGCAAATAACTTGCGAAAAAAAACAAATAATTTAATATCCGATTTTTTTCAGTACCCTACAGCAGCAGATATGATTGTTAATATTTAAATTTTGATACTCAACAAATTTTAAATAATTTTTTCAAAAATGAATGTCGAGATTTTAGTATTTTTAAAGAATACTATGATATAAAATTGTTATTCATAAAATATTAAAATAAAACACCACAATCAAGCCCCCCGCTAGAAAGACTTTCTTAGTGTAGGTAAAAATGTCTTTACCGATAAACGAGGATGCCTTAATGACCAAAATTTTAAAAATATTTTATTACTGAAATCTAATAATTATTTATAATCATATATTTTCATATATAAAATCTAATTATTATTTTAGTTCTATTTAAATGTAATATCGAGTCAATAAATTTTGTAGCTCATTTCATGAATTTTCACAATAGAATTCTAATTTAGATTTATGTAAACCTATATAAGATTATAATAAAAATTGCTTCTGTATCTAGACACATTTTAAAAAATTCCACCTGTATCTAGATAACTTTTTAGACGATGTATCTGTATCTAGATCCATTTAAAAGGTATCTTTTAACAACTCTGGAAATAACTATTCTTTTAAATATTATTAAGAATATTTTTAATAAATGATTAAAATACCCTATCTCCTAAACCTGTGCTCGGGCTAACTTGAAATTTTGCATATTAACTAATCCTATAGCTTCATAAAAAAATTTAGAGAATAAACATATCGATTTTATTCTATAATCAAATTTAAAACTTTTAACAATAACTAACATTATGTTATTGTAAAGGCCTTTTATTAAGCTATATAAAGAAATTTAAATGAAGCTTCTAGCTTAATTATATTTAAAGATATTTATAAATAAAGGGAATGCATTTATCCAAAATGCCTTTTTTCTACATTTATAGGCCCGTATCTCAGCCGAGTCTAAAATTCTATTTTTTTATTAGTTAATATATTTACAAACTCTTGTAAAAAATTTAGAAAAATCTGAGGGGGTCGGGTTGAAAATTATGTTTTTTTGTTGATTCCATGTTCAACATATATATATAAGAGAGAGTAATTGAGGAAGGTAAGAAGATATCACCCTAAGGGAAGTAATAGTACTTTTTTTTAAGTTTTTCCAAGCTGTTTTTTTCAACTTGTTTGTTCTTTTCCTCCTGTTCCTTGAACTGTTTTTGCTAAAAATATTAATATGAGTTTGAAAAATTGTAAGGCAACCAATTGATGGGTGGTAAAATGAATTTATTATTAATTAGTTAAATATAATCACTAGGGACAATTCTATAAAAGAATTTAAAATGCTATGTTAATCAAAATGGATTTTAAAAAATTATCTTAACTTATAAATGTTCTTCGTTCAATTTAAATCAAAGACGTGCAGCTGGTGGGCCGAGATTTGACACAAAATTTAATTATCAAGTTCGTCCGGGATTTTTTGACGATAACGCAGGATTTCGTTGTGGGTAGGGAAAAAATTGGAAAAAAATTATTAAGAGTATTTTAAGTTTGATAAATTTATTAAGACTGGCTATAAAATGTTGACAATTACTAATATACAAATTCAAATATAAATTGATGATAAAATATTAAATTTACAAGTTAGCGTCAATGTGTTATTTTTCAACTTTAAATAATTTTTTGGACGTGTTTTATTAAATTTAAAAATCGGATCTAACCGGAAATGTATTCCAGCATATTTAGAATACCTATCTTATGAATTTTGGAAAATTTTGCTGTTAACATTTGAGTCATATAAAATATATATAAAAAACTAATATTAAATTATTATGTTAAAAAGTTTATAGCGAAATTGTCTCATATTTATAGGGTAGGTACTCCAAACATGATAGAAAACATTTCCAGTAATAAAATTTTAAATCTAAAAAAATACATTAAGGCTAATTTATATCAATGTGTTTTTTCTTCAACTTTAATTTTTTTTGAGCGCGTTTTCTTTAAATTAAAAATCTTATTTTAACGGAAATGTATTACATCATTGCCGTGAACTTAATATTTATATTAGTTTTTCTATAAATTTTTTATATAAAATATAAATGACACAAAATTGTATACAACTCATAAAATAGGTGTTGGAATACATTTCCGATAAAATCAGATTTTTATATTTAAAAAAACGCGCTCAAAATATTATTTAAAGTTTAAAAATAACATTCCGAAAAAAAACACAGACATTAACATATATAATCGGTAGATTTATTATAAATAAATTTCCTGAAAAAGAACTTTGTAAAAAAAATATAAATTTGTTAAACATTTAAAATTTGATATATAAATTCAAATTATAGTTAAAAAATATAGAAATAGATTAATGCATAAAAATATTCTTTAAAATTATTGCAAGCATATTAACTTACAAAGTCTCATGGAAAAAAATATGGTGCTTTAAAAAATGTGGAAAATATAAAGAATTATATTATAAATTTATAATCTGAAATTTAATCTTTGGGACTGAGATCATTTTTCAATGATTTTATTAATGCTTGGTGTCAATCACTATGTATATTAAGAGGTAACCCATCCCATATATTTTCTGAGGTAGTGCATTTCAAAAGCTTTGTTAAATGGGCCGATATAAACCGATTTTTAAAAACGACTAACCCCAAAATTTTATCCAGAAAAATATGGTCATTTAACACCACTACTTCTCAGGTATGGTTTTATTCTTGTCAGTGAAGAAAATGTTTTTTCATTGGTAAACTAAGAGGTAGAGTTGTTAAAATATATAATAATTTTTATATATTAGAAAAATACTATAAAATGTCTGTGAAATTATTTTAAGCACCTTTTGGAACATTATCAACCATAGTTAACCTTTTATACAGTAATTTGCATTCAGCTAGTAATTCATTAGATTACATCCTTACAATAAAAATTATATTTAATATTTTCTCTATCAAGATTTGAAATAGATTAGAAGGGATTAGGCGGTAATAATATTTACAAATTTGTTCGTGGGACCTGTAAATCAAGTTCCATTCATTTGAGTATCTAAGAGAAGCGATTTATTTTTGTATTCTCGGGATTGCGCAGCGAGTCGAGGCAGACAAATATTAAATTTACAAAATTTTGCTTTTGACTCAATTATTATTTATAAAATTCGTCCGTCGACCTAATTTCCTTAAGTTCCAATATAAAGCTTCAGTTATTCTCTTAATCTCAATCAAATCGACGTTATCTTTTTGAAATATTTTACTTTAGTTTTGCAGAAAAGTTTCAAATGATTTGGTCGGAAATTTTAAAATGATAGAAAAACATAATGCTAAGAAAAATTTGAAATCGATATTAATTCATAAAATTAATTAGTAGCGTATTTATTTATGCTCTGAATGTGAAAAATAAAAGTAAATTGGATTAGCGATAAGATGTAGGAATCAGCAAATTTTAGCCGGCATCTGGATTTTTTAACTTGGGAGGATTTACCCTTCCCTGCCGCACTGTTACGCGCCTGGTCTTGCTTTATCCAAATTTTTATTTCGTTATTTTGAATAATTTCAGCTGCATTTGCAAACTGTTTTAAAAGGAAATTGAAAATATGATAAGTAAATGAATAAATACAAAATGCTCCATTATATAATTCTCCAACATTTTACACCTGATTTAATAGAAACCTTCTTTTTTTAAATTATCTAGGATTTTTAAAATTCAAACCATTTTTTTTGGCTGAGCTAGCAAGTCTCTGATTTAAATATTTTATAAAAAAAATATCAACAAATAATTTATATTAGAGAGCTGCTACGCTAACCCTTTCTTCTTTTTCCAAAGCTTGTTTCCTAAATGCCTCGAAACTGTTGTGAACGAAATCTTTTATTTTTGTCCCAGAGCCTGTATCAGAGGTATAAATCATCGATATGGGACTCGAGTTTGAGGTGGGCGCGTTAACGGCGGGGTTGAAAATTGTTGTGACTAGGTTTTTGGCTGTAATAGAAAAATCAAAATATTTAAATTTTTCTCTCTATCCCCTTGGCGCATTTAAGTAAAAATAAAATTTGCAAATATTTATTAATTTCTTAACGCCAAAATCTAATGCAGAGTCAAATCCTTAAATCCTTGTATTCTAGCCTCATAAGGCCTTTATAACCCAACTTTATTTTAACAAACTAATAGTAAAATTATAAATACTTGAGTGTTAATAACTCGAGAAAGAGGTGAAAGTTTGTTTGTTAAAGATTTAGGTTTTAAATTGATATCATACTCCGAATTTCTACTACACTTAAAATTGTTGATATTTTTCTACGCACTACTAGGCTAAAAAATATTTAGTTGTATGAGAATTAAGTAATTCTATATCTACTTTTTGTCAAAAATGACATTTTTACAATAAGTCAATATTTTATAATTATTCCATTCTCTTTATATTAAAAAATCCGAAATATTTTTAAATAACTCAAATTAAATCCCAAAAGGTTAACAATCCTATTGAAAATAATAATTTTTAAAATAGATCTCCTGTAAAATTATAAAAAATACCCTACCCACATCCGAATTAATCTGTTTTGCAACATTTTTTAGTCAAATTTTAAAATATATTTATATTGATTACGCTTTATGAAAATATTTACTTTATTTTTTAAAAACCAGGCAATGCCTGAAAAATGAATACTTAAGTTTTTTATTTAGTCAATGAATTCAGACTAGATGTCTGCAAAGGCAAGTTTTAGCTTGGAGATCTGCCAGCTTACGGTTTTAATAAATTACAACCTGTCCGCTAATGGTGGAAAAAAAATTCATTGTCCGACATGATTAAAAAATGTGCGCCCGCGATTTAGAAATAATTTGATTGGTAGGTTTAGTTATTTAAAAATATTTCTGCTTATTTTTTTAAAATTAGGGCTGTGTCGATGCACAATTTTTTCACCGATCCGATATTACTAAAAACCTGATCCGATATTTATACTGATTTTTATTTACCATCTATCTTTGAACTAAGGCAAAAATATCAATATTGTTTAAAAAAAAACCAACCAACTTTCACGATTTCATATAAATCAACTAAAAAAACTAGATGAGGGTATACAAAATTTTACTTTCCAAATCGACTTACACCTAGAAATATTTCCATCTTTAGCGAAAAACTTCCAAATGCACTATATTTAGACATGTGCGCCGCCGGTCAAATGCGCCGCCGCCGATGATTTTGACCACGCCGACGCCGCGCGCCAAAAAATTGTCGGCGCTCAACACGCCGCCGCCGATGTAAAAATTCGGCGGCGTGGCGGCGTGATACATATTTTTTATTATTTATTTTATATATTATTTATGAATATAAGAAAAATATTAAATATTTTTTGAATTATTAAAAAATGCGATTTTATTTTTTAAAATTAATAAATATTTATGGTATAAATTTGATTTGTAACAATCCTTATACGCTCACTTTGGGCAGGTTGTGACCAACGTGCTAGATAAAATAAGATTAAGACATTAAATTTGAAAAGGTAAATCTATATTTTATTCTTTTATTTTGATTCAAATAAGTTACAACTCGTTATATAAAATTTATTTTTTATCATAATAGAAATATTTATAAATGATTTTTATTTTGTTGCCATTATAACATATATAAAAATACCAGGACTAAAACAATTATAATGGATGCAGCATTGCAATACCCTGTAACAAAATATAGTATATCCTTGCAAGCAAAACCTTCTTTTGCATAGAAACATTTTGGATCCTTAATATTAAAAACTGACACAAATAATAAGAGAACCAGTGTTGCTACAGATAAAGTCTTTTGTAATATATGCTTGCAAATAGCACTTGATAAAGATGGTGAGGATGAAAATAATTCTTCATTTTCAGAGTAAATTTTTTGATTATTTTATAAATATTAGTAAATTTTTTAATTAGTTATCCAATCAAATCTTTTTCAAAAAATATCAGCACATCAAATATAATAAAACATTTACTTGACAAACATGATTTATCATGTAAAGAAGAAATATCTAAACAAAATTTAAAGTTATTTTTCAAACCCATTGTAAAAGATACAACTGACCCTATAAAAGATAAAAAATGGATTCTGGTAAGGAATTATGTTCTCATGTGTTGCAAGGATTTAATGCCATTCTCTTCTATAAATGTTGATTGATTATATATTTAAATAAATTATTTGAATAGTTAATTTTAGTTTTATTTGAATATTGTTTATTATATATATTAACTATTTAAGTTGATTATTTAATATGTTCAATTAACTTTTTATATATATATAATGTTTTTAGATAAAAAATATATAGTAATAAATTTGATTTAAATTTAAATAGTAATAGTTGATATAAGTCCTTTCTTTTATTTCTTTTATGGTGCCCCGGTTACGGTGGTACGTTTTTCGTTTTAAATTAAAGTTAAATGATAAAAGTTTAAAAAAAAAATTAAAAATATCCTTACCTTGATTTCTTTTGTAAAAATAAAAAGAAAATTCGTCGTTCGATATAGGAGATGATAAAGGACAAATAAAATTTTTTGACTTTTCTTTTCGATAGTCAAAATTTTATCCAAATTTACAAAATTATAAAAAGGTAAAAAAAATATATATAAAAAAAATAAAAGAGTATATATATATATAAATAAGAGAGTTATATGATAAAAAATATTTTTCATCAAAATCTTTCAAATTTTATATTGTGATGTTTTGTTTTAAAACTTATGATATACCTCAACACGTTATTATTGATAATATGTTGAATGAAATGGGAATATCTAAAGAATTTTCTTATGTACGTGATAATAGGACAAACGAAATTGTTTTTTATTTTAAATCTTTACGAAGAATGATTAATGCATTTATGTCTCTAAATGGGAAACCATATATTCTTGATGACAATAATTTTATTTTTATATTTTGTAAAATTATTGAATATTAAAATTTAAATATCTTTATGCTTTAGATATTTGACATTATATTTATAGGGTAAAGAAAATTTTCCCTATATTTCATTATTAAATATAAATTTACGCAATGTTTAACTTATAGAATATCAATAAATTTTTTTTTTCTAAAAACTTAGTCACGAATTAGTATTAAATTTTTCACAGACAAATTATATTGAAACTTAGTGGATTAAATCCTCTTTACGAATTCGAATTAGAATTTTTATAGATAAACTATTAAAACTTAGTGGACCATGTTCTCTTGATTAAAATTAAAATTTTTAGACAACTTAAATTTGATTTTAATGAACTACAATGTTTTGCTTTTACGATTTTAAATATTGAAAGTTTACTTTACTCAAATAAAATTATATCATGGACGAAAAATTAACTCTTACACACACTCAATATGTTCCTAAATTTCCCAAGTTATCAGGAAAATTATCTGAGACTTATCTTAACTTAATAGAAACATACTTTGAAGGACATATTGAGTCAGACTCATCTAAAGTTAGGACACTACTATGCAGCTTACCAATTGAGATTGTAGACCAAGTTACGTCGATATGTTCTAAAGCACAGTTAAAAGACTTTAATATTGTTTTTGGTAAATTGAAACTGTTAATTCCAAGTGAGGACATTAATGTAAATATAAAGAACTTTAACTTAGCAGTACAAGGTGCCGAGGAGTCCTTCCATACTTTTTATTTTGGAATTTCAAAACTTCATAAAAAATGCGATTTTGATAACGATACAAGAATGATTGAGAAATTAATAACTTGTTCTTTAAATGATAATATTAGAAGGAAGTTAAATAAACATAAGCACGAAGGTTTAGATAAGATGATGAAATTAGGAGTGGAGTTAGATGGCAGCAATATTAAACCAGACGTTAGCGATACAAATTATGTAGATAATGATAAAAAATTGGATAAAAATAAAAAATTTTACAATTTAAACATGGATAAAATACCATGCAAAAGTACTTTTAGTAATAATGAGAATAATTCTAATGATTATGAACATAATAATTTTAAAGAAAATAATTTTAATTATAATGGACGTAACACTCATAAGGAAAATTTTGATTTTAAGAAGAGGAATTATAATGATTTTAGGCCTAATTATAGTGCTAGTAGAAACTATCAAAACAATATTTTTCGAGACAGTGAGGGTAACTCTAGAAATTTTCGTAATAACCAATCTTCGAATAACAATTCAAACTATTACGGAAGAAACTCCATGTGGCACAACAACAATTATAATAGAAATAATGCCTGGCAATACAATAACAATTCAAACAATTATGGTAGAGGTACTTGGCAAAACAATAATTATAATGGGAGAAACAATTCCTGGTCTTACAACAATCAAAGAAATCAGAGTCAATATAATAATCGATATGGTTATCAATATCAATCCTATAATAACAACAATAATGGAGAAAATAATACGTGGAAAAATTATAATCAAAATATTAATCAAAGAAAACCATTACAATATAATGACGTGAATCAAAGTAACATCAATTGTAACATGAACATTGAAGAGATTGTTGAAGAAAAATATAACCCTACACAAAATAATAATGGTAGTGATTTTAATATCAACAATTTAACTGAGTTTAAACTTAATGATAATGCGTTCATGACCACTTTAAAAGTAAATGATGCTGTTGTTACTATGCAGGTTGATACGGGATCCAAGTTTACAATTATACCTCATGATATGGCTAAACAAATAGGTATTAAAGATCTTAAAAAGTCCACTCTACAACTCACAGCTTATGAAGGAAACTTAATCAAGATTATTGGCGTCACTCAAGTTAAAGTAACCTACGAAGGTATCACCAAACACTTGCAAGCCGTGATCGTTAAATCTAATAAAAATGCGTTATTGCGACGTATGTGGATTAATGCTTTTAGTAATATTTTGAACAAATTTATAGCAAACATTGATACCAACTATGAAGATGAAATAAAGAAATTAATAAAAGATTGCGAATCTAAACTGACTAAAAAACCGATCAACAAAGGGAATGT